TGTCAGAGTAGTTTACAGACCTTTTCACCCCTGGGTTAGTGTCAGAGTAGTTTACAGACCTTTTCACCCCTGGGTTAGTGTCAGAGTAGTTTACAGACCTTTTCACCCCTGGGTTAGTGTCAGAGTAGTTTACACACCTTTTCGCCCGTGGGTTAGTGTCAGAGTAGTTTACAGACCTTTTCACCCCTGGGTTAGTGTCAGAGTAGTTTACAGACCTTTTCACGCGTGGGTTAGTGTCAGAGTAGTTTACAGACCTTTTCACCCCTGTGTTAGTGTCAGAGTAGTTTACAGACCTTTTCACCCCTGGGTTTGTGTCAGAGTAGTTTACAGACCTTTTCACCCCTGGGTTAGTGTCAGAGTAGTTTACAGACCTTTCCACCCCTGGGTTAGTGTCAGAGTAGTTTACAGACCTTTCCACCCCTGGGTTAGTATCAGAGTAGTTTACAGACCTTTTCACCCCTGGGTTAGTGTCAGAGTAGTTTACAGACCTTTCCACCCCTGGGTTAGTGTCAGAGTAGTTTACAGACCTTTCCACCCCTGGGTTAGTGTCAGAGTAGTTTACAGACCTTTCCACCCCTGGGTTAGTGTCAGAGTAGTTTACAGACCTTTTCACCCCTGGGTTAGTGTCAGAGTAGTTTACAGACCTTTCCACCCCTGGGTTAGTGTCAGAGTAGTTTACAGACCTTTCCACCCCTGGGTTAGTGTCAGAGTAGGTTACAGACCTTTCCACCCCTGGGTTAGTGTCAGAGTAGTTTACAGACCTTTTCACCCCTGGGTTAGTATCAGAGTAGTTTGCAGTCCTTTTCACCCCTGGGTTAGTGTCAGAGTAGTTTACAGACTGTCAGTGTAGGTTGAGCTCCAAAAAAACGTACTTTTCACGTATGAGAGGGAAGAGGAGGAAAAAATGGGGGGGGGGGGGGGACGGGTTCCAATAAAAATACAAGTTAAATCCTCGAAAACATATTTTGTTTCCTATTTGTTTATTTGAGATCGAATCCTCAAAGGCCAAT